GGCCCAGAGCAGGAGGCATACAATGCTGAGAGGGGAAATGACAATTCTTTTGTAATTAAATGCACAAGGTTTGTAAACAGTGCTGATATCTTTATAAAGTACGCATTTTAAAAACACTTTCATGTGCCAGTCTTTGAGTGTGTGTTAATAGCAGCAAATTATGTTGTGGTTGCGTTGGATTAAGATCCTTCTTTCCGCAGGAAGTGTTTGCAGTCACCCCATGTTCGGCAGAATTGAGTTTGTTTAAGATAAGAAATAGAGGAATGTCTGTGCTGGGTTGGAGCCCTGGTCAAAATACACTGATCTCCTGTTGCCTGAGAAGAAAATAAAGCTCCTCTAATAAGTGCTTACATAAACACACCCAGAGGTGAAGTGTCTTCTTCACCCCCAGGCAGAGAGTGGTTGGGTTTGTCCTTCCAGGTGAGGGCTGGAGGGTCATAACATGTGGCTTATCCACCTAAAGGGCTTGGTTTCTGGAAGACACTGAAATCCTGATAGCAGGGCAATTAGATAGGAAGATAGAAGATTACTTTTAATATTGTAAGTGAGGAATGATAACCTGACAAGATGCTGTCCTTAGATAAATCTTGACCTCAAGAATCTTCCTTTTACTTTGCTGCCTGTGGGGATTTTTTCCCTGACTCAATCCCTGCTCGCTGCCGCGTGTTCTGCAGTGAGAGGGCTTTTCCTGGAGGCAGAAGGAGTTAATGCAGAATTGGATGACAGATTAGTCTGGGACAGGCTGTGATTTGGAGTGAGAGAACTATCCCAAAAAGCTGGCCAGCTGCCAAGGGGATAGACTGGTTTGGAAAACACATCGGCAGAGCAGCGGCGTCCTCTGGAGCAGCTCTGGGTGAGGATTATCTGTCAGTTTAACTGCTGTGCTGTACAGTCTGACTGACACACACACACAGTGCCTTCAGTTTTGTATAAAGAAAAACGATTAGCAAACACATGTTTTATCTCTGGGCTGATAATAAATTGAATAAGAAACTCCTCTTTTATTTCCCTCCAGTGTGTGTAAAAAAATAGGGAAAAATATTTTGATTAGAACATTTTCACTCCCTTTTCTTTTCTTTCTCTCGGAGCTGTTCTCCAGCCAGCTGTTGAGCTGATGAGGAGAGTGGAAGGGCTGTGAGAAGGGAGATTTTCTGAGCATCAGACACATTTCTATGGGAGTTGAATGATTCAAAATTGAGTTCCACATAATTTACCAGGGATCTCTTGCAATACAGATGAGAAGCCTGTCAAGCAGTGGTGCAGCTGAAGAGGTTATTTCCGTCTTAACTCTCCTGGGCACAGCTGGTAGGTGGGATGTTTCAAAAAGGGGAAATTAAGAGTCAGGATATGATGATTGAGCACCCCACGATACCAGATCAGCATTTGAGTTTTTCTGGGTATATAAAAATGCTACTGTACTTTTGAATTGTGAATTTTAATTATTGCAGCAATTAAAAACTGCCTTTTTTTTTTCTTTTTTTTACCCAGCCATTTGGTGACCTAGATGACACAAGTGAATGGCCTCAGTCCATTTCTCTTTGAACAGGGAGCCACGCTGAAAATATTGCCATTACACTGAACTTCCTCACTGGCAGTCTCTGCCCGGAGGAGGAGGAGGACTGAAAGGGTTAGAACAGCCAACTTTCTTTCAAGTCCTTCTTTCTGGAAAATTTGCTGCTATTGCTCATATCTGCCAGAGCAACACCAAGAGCATTAGCAAAGGCAAGACGTTGGGGCAGCTGTAACTGCTGGAGTTGTCAAAACCTGCTGATCCCTTTGCCAGGAGACACCTGGAGCTGTGTCTGTCCTGGCATACTCCGTGTTGCTTGAGTGGAGCTCTGTAAGTGGGAAAGGCCCCAGACTTAAAAGGCCAGTGTTGACACAGTTGTGGTCTCTCCAGGGCATGGTTGAGACACATCACTAGGGTGGTATGAGGGGAAGTTTCCATTAACAATTGTTCCCGGCTTGCATCCACCACCACCACCACCGTGGAGTTCTGCAGCTGGATCTCCAAAAGAGCTCAATGCTCAAGAGCTCTCATTTCAGCAACTTAAATAGAGGGGCTAAGTTCTTTCCAAAACACTTGGCAGTCGTCAGCCCCCATTGAGAACAAAGCTTAAGCACATTAAACAGTCCAGCCACTTCACTGCTGAGAAAATTTGGCTGCTGTTGGGAGCACAGAGTGTTTAAATAACACAGAGCCTGGCAAAGGCATCTGGCTCCCAGTGCTGGGCATGAGGTGCCTCACCTTGCCTGGCCCTGGCAGCTGGCAGAGTGGGCTTCCTCCTTGACTGATTCCTTGTGCATCACAGCCTCTTACCAGCCCTTTTCTCTGGATGTTGTGACAGCTGGGAAGTTTGCTGATGCGAGGATTAGTCGGCTGCCGGGCGCATGACGCTCAGATTGCTGGGCTTATTTGACCTGCCTCTGATTGCGAGGAATTTTAGTGCATAAAAATAACACCCAGAACGAATTTGGCAGAAGGATGCACAGCGAGAAGTGCCGTGCACACACGGGGAGAGGAGCTCGGGGAGCGATGTAACGCGAGGCCGCTGCGCTCCTGCAGTGCCGGCAGTGCCAGCAGTGCCAGGGCCAGCGCTGCCCACGCCGTCGTCTTGGATTACGGAGAGTTCCCAGCACCACGGAGATGCCGTGGCCATTGGCCAGTAAACTAATGAAGACAGGTTCCTGGCTTGCATTACTGGCAAAAACTTGATTGAATAAATAAAAAGATGCCGAGTGCCAGGAGTTGCCTCACGTAAAACGCTGCGCGAGGCAGTGCTGGGGGGGGGCTGCTCGGGGCTTGTTAACTCTGTTCTCAGGGGAGCTCCTGATGGTTTGCAGGAGCATGGCAGAACAGAGTTGGCCCACACAGGCTGAGGTGTGTGTGCCATGTGGGTGTAGGGGTATCTTACAGGGCAGTGCTCTTTGGACTCCCCAGGTGTGTGCCTGGTTTGTTCAGGCTTTGTTTTAGAACAGCGTTCACCTTGAACGAGCTTCCCGCTGGCACTGGGACATCTTGTGTTTGCTGAAGGGCTGTGTTGGCTCTGGAGTTGTGAGAGCTCCTTAGGCTGGGGGAGATGAATGAAATGTGTGCACGTAGGAAGCAAGGCAGGATCTTGTTTGCCATAGGTTCTTCTCCCAGGTCACCGGGGAGATGCATCACTCTTTATTTTGCTGTTGCAAATAAGATGCAATGCCTCGATTTCCCATGTTTAAAAGGAGTATTTTTGCTCTTTTTCTGAGTGATATTGCAATATTTCTTGAGGCCAGTGATTACAGAGCTCATGTAATTGTGTAATATGGCACGCTACAGATAAATGATAATATGCAAACTTATACTGTGTATCAAGAACTTCAGCAACATTTAAATACAGGCTCTTTTGCGTGGGGCAATTGGAAAGCTGGGATAGATTTCACAATCCACTTGACTTTTAGAAACACCCTGCGTGCTCACCAGAAATGTAAAAGTATTCAGCTCTCACATCTTGCTTCATTTTTGTATGTATTACAGAATTTGCCCGATTTGTGTGTGCATGTGTCTGTGTATTTGTGTACCTGGCTGCTCTGGTACAGGCATTTAAAGAAGCCTTTCCTGTGTTTCATCCTTTAAATAGGATGCAGCAACATCCTTTCCTCTCCCTCCCTCTACCATAGCCATAGATACATATTTTAATAACTTTGATCCTCCTTTTCTCTTCTCCCCAGCCCTTACCAGCCTTTCCTGAAAGCTGATTTTATCAGCTTTAAATAGGAGTTACAAAAGACAAAGCTCTCCCTTAGCAAGCCCTGGTTTGCACAACACAATTCCCTGGTGCCTTTTCCATGTGATTCCAATATTGTTGCCACGATCTTCTAGATTAAAATAAAACTTACATTGTTAATGCTGGCCTTGGTTTGGAATTAGAAATGACATTTAATGTTTACCATTTTACACCCTAAATATTGCAGATGTGGGCACAAAAAAGGAAATATTACACAGTCACAGGATGTTTTTGTAGTTATAAAAGCCGTCAGATGGCTAAAGTCAAAGTGAATTAGCAAATAGCCAAAATAATAAAAGAATATCTGCTTCAATCAGAAGTCCTCCCTCTGAAGTCTGTGAGGCTTCTACTTCTGAGGCATGTGAAAACTTCTGAAAATTCTGCCCCCGGGGAAAGTCCGTGTTTAGGCAGCTGACTTCAGGATCCTATTTTTGGAACCTTTGGTTGAGATTTTAAATTGGATTTTTAGTGGGAATGGTGCCTGAATTGGTGCTGTGGGATCTTGAAGGCTGTATCTAAGATCAAAAAAAAAAAAAAAAAGAAAAACGGGAGGGCTAGCATTCATTTTCTGGGTTAGGTTCCTTTTTATTAGATTTTATATATCATAAAAGAGAAATGCAGCATCAGTAAGTGTTCTTTCATTTTTGCAGAGCGTTTTTAAGGAGTTGTAGCCTTTCATGTTGCTGGTTTCCTTCACTGGTAGGATTTCATAGAGAATTGATAGAGGTCTTCTTGGAGTGCTTCAGCACAGCTGAAAGTACACTCATGAGAGTGTACCTTGGTTAATTGTAAACTAAACATACTCCCAAAGGTGTATGTGAAGAAATCTGTGCATGAGATAACCAGGAAGGGTTGCATTGTGCTGGGTAAATCTGAAGCAAAGAAGAGTACTTATGACTTGTTCCTGAGGATGGGATCCTACTGAAGTGGCACAGGTTGGAGCAATGTATCTTCTGCCTGCAGTCCAGTGCACTCAGTGTTGGATGAAGTGATCTTATGTGGGCATCCAAGATTAGTGGCTGGAAATAGGAATATAAAGGTATGAGCATGTCTGGATCTGAATATGCACTCTAGAGAACAGACAATGTGATATTTAGCAACAGCAGATACCGAATTCTCAGGGAAAGCTTAAAGAATCATTGCTTTTGAACTATGTGGAGATCTTCTAAAGTCCCTGTTCAGTGATATTATTTACATACTTTTCTGACATGGCTGTATTTATGTGTATTTCTGCAGGTCAGATCTTGCCAGCAAACCGAAACACACCGAGTCCCATCGATCCTGAGACTATCCAAGTCCCTGTCGGCTACGAACCCGACCCTGCAGATCTTGCTCTTTCCAGTATTCCTGGCCAGGAGATGTTTGATCCTCGTAAGCGCAAGTTCTCTGAAGAGGAACTGAAGCCCCAGCCCATGATTAAGAAAGCTCGCAAAGTCTTCATCCCAGATGACCTGAAGGTAAATTGGAACTGGTGACGAGGCTGTTCCTGCAGGGCCTCTCACAGTCACTGTCTGAGGTGCAGGTTTGAGTGTGAATCTGTTTTCTCTTGTGAGGTAAATCTGTTTCCTCATGTGAGGTCAGTCTGTTTTCTCGTGTGAGGTAAATCTTCCAACCTAAACACAACTCTGTTGTAGGATGAAACTGTTAACAGTTCTGAATGAGGCTGGCAGGAGGATGTCCCTTATTAGTTATGCAACAGTTGAAATTCATGAGCTCAATATTCATTTCCTTTGTATGCCAGAAACTTCCTGTGTGACCTTGGATGAGCTTCCTTTGTCCCATATTTCCCACTTATGAAACAGCCTGATCGTGTTTCCTTTTTCTTCATCTTCTGTCTATTCAGCATAGATTGTGAATTCTTCAAGGAAGAATCCATCTCCTTCAGGGTCTGTGGAGCACCCTGATGATAACAGAATGAAGTATATTGTGTATTGTTTGGATGGTGCTTTAGCTCTGTGTTTAATAATGAATGGGAACACTACAGTAAACACTGTATTTCCCTAATATATATTCACTAATCCAGGTGAAAGAATCATAGACAAGTTGTAGGAAAACAGAACAGAATTATTCAGATGAGAGGTGTGTTTTTAATACAATAGTTAAAATATAATACTACCACAATATTTAAAAAGAATGAGCACCCTGTCTGTGCCACTCACTGCCTCTGAGATGTGAAGAGCAAAGAACATGAAGACAGCAGGAAAATCGATCAACTGATCCAGGTTATCAAACACTGTGAAAATTATTATTTGCAAGATTGTTTTCCCAGTATGTGCTTTCCCAGAAGATCTTTTTTATCAGAGGCAGTCAGTGCAGAATTTCATTCTGTTGTTGCTGCTGCCCCCAAGACACACACTGAGAGCCTGCTGGAGTGTGGGAATCCCTGGCTGCACGTGCACAGCGACTGGGATGCCATGTGTTTGCACCAGATTGATAGCATTAGGGAAAGAGGCTATTTTTATCCCTAAGGATACTGTGGTGCAAGTTAAGAGCACAGAAATCACAACTCAAGGAGTGTTCAGGTGGTGTGTTACTGTTGCTTTGTAGTATCCTCATCTTTCCTTTACAGAGGTTTATCTGCTCCTTGTTGCTTACCTGGGTGATCCCTGTGGGGTTGCAGTGTTTGGAGCTCTGCTTAGAGAGAGCTGTTTGTCACAGGAATGGCTGGAGTTTGCTCCTTAGTGCCATTCCGCACTCTGTCAGGTCTCCCAGGTATCCTTACTCATCGCAGCAAACTTCTGGCAGAGGCCCTTTTGGCTCCAGATGTGGCACCCAGGGTGCAGCAGTGGGGCACTTAGTTTCCACCTGAGAGTGAACTAGAAGTTCAGGGTCTCTCATTCCCTGGAGATAATCCCCTGGGTTGCCCTTGACTCGTTTCAGAGCGCTTGACCCACGCGCTGCCTCTGCCCTGGCATGTGGAGCGGCACTGGGTCCTGGGGGAGGGTAAGCAGATTAGACCAGTCAATCGTCTCTGGGCTGCATGTGATTTGGAAATGCCAGCCTTACCTCTTTCAGGCCTGGATTAAGGGATTTGCCATAGCAATTTGTTAAAATAAAGAGGGATGAAGCCTAGGTGGCACACTAATAAATTGCTTAAAGCTGATTTTTATGGAGTGGAGTGAGATGGGAAATTATAAACAAGATTTGGGTCATAGCTTTTTGCTGCGTGCTTGTTTTTAAGAGGATTTTTGGGGGTCCCATCTAAGTACAGGTGAAGAGCAATTTAGAGATAGCACTGGCTCCAAATCAGCATTGCTGCACACCTTGTTGAGCCAGACTGATAGAAAGCAGTTCAAGAGTCCTCCTGCCAGCAGTTGTTTTGCTCCTGCTTTGCCTTAAGGAGGCAGCAGCAGAAGGTGCAGAGCAGCAGGATTAGGCTGGGAGTGCTCCAGGCTGAAGGACCCAGGAGTGGTGGGTGTTTGTGTGCTCAGTGCAGCGTAGGAGCAGCTGGGTCCTGTGCCCTGTGCTGGGCATGGTGCTGTGCTCCTGTGCTCGGGAGCTACACAGGGAAATGGAAGCGTATTGAAAAGGAGGGGTGACCCTGGGAAGGGAAGTTTGACCTGTATGACCTGGCCAGGCAGTTTGAGGGTGAATGGCTGCATCACTCTAACTCTGCAGGGGGCTGAATTTCACTTTTCCTGAGAGATTCTGCCCACTTTGTATTTACTGAGTTGTTCCAAATTTCTAGAACTTGATTCAGTTTGAAAGAACATCAAAGCTGCCATTTCACTGAAGGCCACCTCATTGGAAGAGTGGAAAAATCAGGTGAAATTCAGTAGTTCCTTCGAGCCTTTGATGCACCAATGCAGTAAGGTGAGAGAGGCAATCCTTCAGGGATAACACTTTGGGAATGTGTTAGCTTATGAAACTTCAGGGGGAAGTGGAAGTATTTCTGGGAATGCTTTCATTTTTTCCCCCCAGTAAAAGCTAATTGTACTAATCTTTGTGGTTGGTACCAGAGCAGCCATCATTGTTGTGCCAGGGAATCCTCTTCCAATGACTTGGTGGTGCACACAGGAACACTTTGGGGCTCTGTAAAGAGCTTTGAACAGAAAAAAAATGAGCTGAACGGTAGATGAAATGGGTGATACCAACAAAGAGAGTGAAGCAGGTGTTGGCTGGCAGAGCTGAGCAGGGCCAGAGGTAATTAGTGCTGCTCCAGCCACTGCAGAGGATGAGTCACGGCACGCGAAGGTGGATGTGCTAACTAGGGCAGCAGAGATGTGAGAGGGATTGTACCACTGGAATATTCCTTCATTTTTCCTTGGAGGAATTCACTGTCAAGAGGATGAGGGGATTAGTGTAAACATTTTGACAGAAACATGCAAGGGCATCTGTACTCCCTGGGTGGGTTGTGCCGCGTAGAGCCGCGACTCCTGTCCCGCTGTGCCCGGCGCTGTCGGGATGGGATGGCACCGAAGTCCCGGAGGCGGTGGCTTGGGAGCACGTCCGGGTGGCAGCTCATCTTACCGAAATCTAATACCTTGTTTGTCTCTGCCTGTGTTTAATGAGCAGGATGACAAATACTGGGCAAGGCGCAGAAAGAACAACATGGCAGCGAAGCGCTCGCGGGACGCGCGGCGGCTGAAGGAGAACCAGATCGCCATCCGCGCCTCCTTCCTGGAGAAGGAGAACTCGGCGCTGCGCCAGGAGGTGGCCGACCTGCGGAAAGAGCTGGGCAAGTGCAAGAATGTCCTGGCCAAGTATGAAGCTCGACACGGCCCCCTGTAAATCCGACAGGGGGGCAAGTGGGGTTTGGTTGTTTGTTCGGTTTTTTTTTTCTTTTTCCTTTTTTTTTTTCTCCTCCTTGTCGCAGGTTGGCATTTGACTAGATGGACAATGTGTTTCCTGTTTGATAGCACCACGCCCAAACCAACCTTTCTGTCTTCAGCACTTTACCAGAAGCAGAAACAAAACTGACTTAACGTTGGTTTTCTGTTTTGTTTTGGTTTTTTTTTGTTTTGTTTTGTTTGCGTGTGCGTGTCCCCGCGCGTGTGTGCGTGTGTGTGTGTGCACATGTGTGTTCCCAGGTCTGTGTCCGTGGGTGTGCCTGTGTGTGTGGGTGTGCACGCATCTCAGCACTTCCCATTTTTATGAACCCTCTTCAAAGGGTGCCACATTTTTACCTGGACTGTTGAGAAACCACCGTAGTAAGCTTTTTATTATCTTTTTTTTTTTTCAGTGCTGCTTCAGAGTAGGGTTTTTACGTTCTTGTAATCAGTTCCATCCTCCTGATTTTACTTGGAAAGATCCCAGTATAAATTACTTAAAAAAAAAAAAAAGGAAAAAAAAAGAAAAAAAAGAAAAAAAAAGTAGATCTCAGTTTTTTTTCGAGAGTAACAAGCTATCGTTTTACGTCTGTCTAATCAGAAAAGTTAACATGCTAATAAAGTGCACAAATAATAATTTAGTACTACACTGCAGAACTATTAATTTATAGATCGCTTTCGTTGTATTTTAAGTTTTTTGGTGATAAAATTGTCTTCAGATTTTAAAGTGCTATTAGACTGAGTTAGCTGTACTCATTATAGATCCCATAATGGCTTCTCTGTAGCTACTTTAAGGTTCCTTTTTCTCTCCACGGACCCCAGGTAGGTAGGTAGGAGTGTGTGATAGAGCACAGAGTTTGTACCTTGCACTGCCTGTACCTGAAGCAATAATCCTGTCGTGCGCTCGCGTGCATGCTGCCCGGATGTTCCCACTGGAAGTAGGACGGTTCCCTACCCAACAGGAGTTTTCATGTCTTTGCCAGCGAGTTCCAAAAGTCAGAGACACGTTCCCGTGAGCATGCTGAGCGTGTCCCTGCCGGGGGGGAGCGCATGTGGAAGGAGCAGGAGAATTAGTTGAAATGAGAACAAAACTCGTAGAATCAAATCAGATCCGATGTCGAAATCAGAGGGGCTTTTCTGTTTTCAGTTAGTTATTCCATTTTGTGATTAAAAGTTAAATAAATACCTAAATTCAGTTGGTTTTTTCCCCCCCACTCCCATGTTTTGTAATATATTTTCTGTGGATTATATCTTGCTGTTTTAAAAATCACTTTTATTCAGTTAGAAGAAGTCACTGGTTTGCAAAGCCCATTTTTTCCTAGTGATTGTTGTTTTGAGTGTGACATGAACTGATGGTTCTGAACTTTATTGTTTTAAACTCTCTGCTTTTGAACATGTATGTTCTAATATAAAGTGGACTTCTGAAAAATGAATGTAAGAGACACTGGTGTATTTCAGAGGGGGATGGTGTTGTCATATACTGTGGTTAATCCAATCAATCTAAGTGTTTACTCTAGACCAAAAGGATAGATATTATAAAATGTATAAAGTTTATACAGAATAATTATAGTATGTTCGTTTTGTACAGTATTTTTCAAGTACAAATACTGACAATGTATTTTGAAAGACATATATATAGCAAAAAGAAAAAGCTATTCCATGTTTAAAATATATAGCAAAGATATATATTCTCCATTATTGTACAGAAAGGAAATGCTTAGGGGTTTGTTGGTTGTTGTTTTTTTCTTTTCTTTTTTTTTTTTTTAAATCTTTTCATATTTTAAGCCTACCACTGGCACACCGGCATGTTCTGTGCTTTAAATTAAATTTTTATGGAAGTAATATGGATTTCCAGGATGTTCCATATTACTGAAAAGGAGAGACTTTAGTATTTTCCATCAGAAACACATCACGAAACTGTTTAACAGGGACAAAGCACAACATGGATTTTAGTCAACTATTGATTGGACAATACAATATTTTGTAATGGCAGGAAAATAACATACAACACAAAACCACTCACAGGCACTTCTGATCTGCTGCTGCTGCTACAATCTGTTTCCAGCTGAATACATTTTTTTTTATAAATAGCTCGGATCCTGTACACACTTTGTGTACTGCACACAGTTAGTAACACGTGAGGAAAATACGGTGCTACATGTCTTGCTCACAGTTTTCTAAGTGTTCTGGCATTATTCTCCAATACAAAGGTTGTTCATTCCATGAAATCATTTTTCATGCTTCAGGAGACGGCGACAAAGAACTCAGCATTTTGGTCAGCATTAAAAATCCCCTCGCATGAATGGCACTTTTCCAGTATTTTTCCACAAACACACCTGGCTTGTCAGTGTCCCTTGACATGTAGGACTTGCCTGTGGACCATTTATTGGGTAAACTGAATTTCCACGTGCTGCAGCAAACTTTGAAGCGCAGTGAGTTATTCCCTAGAGGTCAGTATGAGGCAGTGGATGCTGGGGAGACACAGGAGTGTGTGGCACAGGGCTCAGAGCTGCTGTGGCCACGTGGCAGCAGCACAGCAAACTGCAGCAGCCCCAATCCCCCCACGAGGGGTGTTTTTGGGGTGCCCCAGGAGCAGGAATGAGGTGCCATTGGTGGGGGGGTGGGTTGTGAACACAAACCTTTCTATGACACGTAAAAGGCAGCTTGGGATTAAAAAAAAAAAGTGACAGAGAATTCTTTTGTTTCTTTGGGCAGGGAAGGGGTGGGAGATGGTTTTTGTAGGCTGGATGTTATGTTATGGCCACAGAGGAGCACAGAGGTTTCCAGCAGCTGCCTGGTCCAGCGGTCCCAGAACTGCTCCGGTGCCTCCTCACCCCTTGGGAGGACAGGAGGGACTGGGAATGTGCACAGGCTGCAGCTTCTCCTTTGGGGTGAGGACTTTCCAAGGAGCCTGAGGGATTTAGGCACTCCCCGTTTGCTGTGGGAGTGAGGTACCTTGGCTGCTCTGAAAAGCTCATTTGTAAAAAAAAAATAGCACTTAAAAAAAAAAAGGCAAAATATGTGGGCCGATATCTGGAAAAACCCCAAGTTCTCTAGCCAGGTTGTCTCCCCAAAATAATAAATAAATGGAAGTTCAGCTCATTTTCAGTTCCCAAGGTCAGCTCAGCTGGGCTCATCACACCTCTGATGGCTTTGTTGCTCATGAAGGAGCTTGTAGGTATAAGAGATTGTAATTTTATAAAAATAGAAATATATATATTTGCAGAATAATTAATAGCTTATCTAAATAATTCACTGACCTCTATTAAACTTATAAGCATTGGTAAAATGCTTGTCTTCTCTTTTGTTTTTTGCTGACACTTAGAAGTGAATTTTTTTCTTTTTAAAAAAGAATGCCCTCTAGAAACCAGTGGGACTGGAGATGGATTTGTGATCCGAGCACCTTGGGGCTCTCCGTGGGAAAGCCCGTGGCAGAGAAGGCGGGGGGGGTATTTCTTTTTCTGTTTTGAATGGTGCTGAAGTCACTAAACCCAAGCACCATGGAAATAAAGTTCTGACTTGAATCCACAAAAGCAAGAAATTCAAACTGCGGGGCAGGAGCCCGAGTGAGGCTCCGAGCTGGACTCGCTCCCTGTGCCCACAGGGGTGGGATCAGCTCACACCCCTCACCCTTGAATGTCTTGCCTCTGTGGGTTTGTAATACCCCCAATTATTGCTTTAAAACTATTTTTGCATGTAATTTACGATAGAGATGTGCAGTTTATTTTTATTTTGTCGACTTCTTTTTTTATGTGAAGAGATTAAAAAAAAAAATATATTAAAACTTACAAGTGATCAACCATCGTATTTCTGGCAACACCACAAGACAGCATTAAATACAAGTTTAACAAATAGATCAAATTACCTGTATGACAAGAAGTGGATTGCATCCTGTATGCTGTTCAGCCCAAATATTTTTTTTCGTCTGTTATTCTTAATGTTTAATAAACTTTTAAATTTTTCTTCTCTCACCTGTGTGCTTGTTTTGGTGTATCGGGGCATGGGCCTTTGGGAGGGGAGGTGTTGGAATTTTTCTCCCCCATCCTGTGGTCTGTGAGTGGCCAGAGCCTCCAGCCTGGGTTGTGTCACATCAGGGGATGGACCCCAGGTGGGTGCAAATGTCCCCAAACCTGCCCTGCTGCCATCAGGGTTGGGTATGACCCCAGCAAATGGGTATTTACACAAGAGAAAATATTTCTAGTTGTAGTATAGTTAGTATAAAATGTTTAGTTCAATAAGTATTAAAGGGATATAGTGTAAACTATATTCATCATTTATGTATATATATATATACATGCAATATACACTTTATATATCATGAGATGTGATCATTCCTTTGTAATACATTCACAAAAATGCTGCACATTAAAGAGTATTTTTTATTATAGTACACAACAGAATTCATTAATTTTATTCTCCATGATATCTGATATTTTGTGTAGACCACATGGCAGATAATACATACTGCAAGCTTTTAGATATCTAGTTTATATATAATAAAGTACAGCCAGTGAGAAAAAAATGTAACTCACCAGTAACACTTCTTTCTACAAGTTATTAAAATGTGTCTGTGTGTATTTATCTGTATGCATAGAGGTCATTGATATAAAGGTCTGGTTTTAATAAATATATATATATGTATATTTTATATATATATATTATGCTCAAAGTAAATTTGTTACACGCATGTATGTGTGTGCACGTGCAGAATCACACACAAACACATCCATAAAGGTCTACATTTTAATATATAGTATATATTATGCATAAAATCCATGGTTTAATAACACAGATGCATTCAGTCTCTTGCTTTATCTCCCCTTTGTCCATGTGCATGCACTCATTAGTTTTATATATGGCTATAATATATAGAAATAAAGGGATATATTTAAATACACATATTAAAGGTATATGCATATATAGAAAAAAGTTAAAATTACATTTTCATGTATTTTCATTATTTTGCTTTTAGCTTTATATTTTTATACGTATTTATAAATATATAAACTAGACTGTATTAATACAAAGGTTTTAATGAGACAGAAAGTGTATTTGTCTAATTCACACACACTGTGCATCTGCACAAGCACATATATCTCTACATCCATATGGCTATACTTTGTCCAATTAGACTTTCATACAGCATATTAACAGCATTTACTCCATTAATACATCTTTATATCATTTTTAAATACATTTTATTGCTGTAAAGGTCTGGGTTTGCTATATATGCCATGCACAAAATATAATTTCTGTAATACACAAGCACAGATGTCAGTGTGGGCACACACGTCCTCAGAGCTCTCTCTCCATACAGATATGACTTACATAGTTACAAATTTAATAATTGTATTTCATATAGAATAAATTCAGAATTTATTAAATTCTCTCAGAATTTAATTATTAAATCCTCTCAGAATTTACTACTTGGATACAGCTTTATAATACACATGAAAAATATTGTTGTCAAGGTCTTTTTGTGGTAATGCTGTGACCTTTTTGTGATAAGACATAATGCTCTGATTATGCACAGGAGTTGTCTTAGTACACCCACATAAATCAATATTTAGTACACCCATATAAATCAATATTCCCACACTCATCCCTGTACCTAAATAGCTACAGATCTGGGTGATTATGTACTGTATATATACATATACATATATACATATACACACACAAATATATGTGTATATAAGTATACACACAATATATTAATGATATTTAAAATAATACATATACATATATATAATACATATACATAACATAATTTATATCTTTTATATATACACTATAATATGTATTATCTATGTATACTATGTATATGTATTCCTTTATAATATTACTGTATATTTATGTGTATATATACATACAGTAATACAAAGTAATACATATACATAGTGTATATATATAATATAATATATGTATGTGTATTATACTATAATATATATAATGTATATATATATATACACTATTTAATATGTAGATACTATGTATTATATATACACTATGTATTTGAGATATATATATACACTATACTGTATATACACAAATATACACTATATATACTACACGGTATTCAGGCACATATAGAGATACATATTATATATATATATATATATATATATATATATATATATATATATATACACATATATATATATATAAAAAAGATATGTGTCCCAATACTGTTGTATACACTGATATAAATTCGATTAAATTTTCATACGACATATTTAGCAGAATTTGATAATCCAGGCTAATATTTATATATCTGTAATTACCTGTTGCTGTACAGGTCTGTTTTTACCTTTATGCACAAAGTGTATTTGCTGTAACACAGACATGTATGAGCGCACACACACACACACACACACACACACACACACACACACACACTCCCCTCACTCTCCCTGCCTGTGTCTGTCTAGTCAGAGAGAAATTTAATAATTTTATTTCCCTAGAGCGTATGGAACAGAATTAATAAGGTTTTCATTCATATTTTATATGAAGATGCATCTAAAAATAGTCATCACTGACGTATGAAGGTCTGAGTTTAAATATATAGTACTTATTGCACACCAAATATCTGTTTTAATAACCCAGAAACCCTTCCCATGGCTCTTGTGCTCCCCTTCCCTGGACACACACGTGTGTCTGTGTCACACACATTTCCATGTACACACTCAGGACAGAAAGAGAGGCTTAAAAAAAATGGATCTGTTTTTATTTACGCAGACACACATATAAAATAATGCGCAATAAAGGTTAAAAAATCGTATTTTCACATACCATGTGTAGCTGCATTTATTTTTAAAGGCTAGATTTATTTTTTTTTTTTGTATTTATTCAGAAATATATAAAGTAGAATTTATCGTGATGATGATTTGGAGTTAACATTTAATAAAGTGTTATTTGAGGCACGAAGTTTTTTCTAATGCACGCACTCATCTCCATCTGTGAATGTGCATGGTACACACACAGAGCTAGATATAGACATTCAATAATTACATTTTCCTATGGCCTATTTTGCAGCATTTACTTCATTTATATGGCTTTAGAGCTTTTTATATACACACATATTTTATTGCTATAAAGATCTGGCTTTGTTATTTATTTTATATAATATGTACAAAATATATTCGTTACAATGCAGAAACACACCCCCTTTGACTGCCTCTATATGTGCATTTAGCAGTGTTTTGTTGTTATATTTTTATATATGGAACAGATAATACATAAAACATGCTTTTGGAGACATTTGTATTTTTTATATACGCCAATATATACGACAAAAGATTTTTACATGAGATCTTCATCACACACAGCACCTGTACACATACAGACAAAATTCAAGGTGTTAATATAGTAGCATAAATATACTTTAATATGTAAGTATATAAAATAAACCAGCTCCTCCTGGTCATCCCCTCCCCAAGCTCAGAAGACACCCCCCCAAACTCATCTTTACGAGGTGCCAAGAGCACATTTAGGATCAGTTTTCCGGAACTTTTGCTGCTCTGGAGTCCTGGCGCTCCCCTAATAACCCACCTGTTTTGATTTTAAGATAAATTTGGTGGATTTAACATTTCTGGGGTCATTCATGGATGAAATGACCCCAGAAAATCCCCGATAAAAATAATAAAAAAGACTGGAAAAGTCCCATTCCGAGGCATTCCCTTCACCAGGCACAGCCTGGGCTCCGGCAGCTCTGGGGCATCCGAGGTCGCCTTATGGTCGGCTTTGGTGTTTCTCTTTTAGTTTCTTTTTCTCAAGCCCAAATTTTCACGAAACCTGTGAGAATTTAAGAATCTGTGAGATGCTTTAAACCCTCCATTAAGCTTGCCCAGCTGCTCAAAAAATAATTCAGGAGCAAAATAAAGAGGTAAAATAAAGAGACAGCAAGTCTGGTTGGTGGCAAAAGAATCCTTAACGTTGTATTTAAGAGTAATAAGTAGGATTTGTCACTGTGCCTGTGACCGGTGCATTTCCACCGCATATTATTGTTTCATTTTTACGTGTAATCATCCCTTAAATGCGAGGGCAATGGGAGATATCCTTGGGTTGGAATGCTGGGAACCAGGTCCAGCCTCAGGCAGTGCCGACACAAGGGGTCACACGAGAGCCGCGAGCGGCTCCCGAGCGCTGGGATCTGCTCCGAACTATCAGCTTTTCCCCCTCAATATCTGGTATATCCTCCCTCCGTGGGAGGGGGACAAACGCCGTGTCACCCCATCAGCACCACGGCTCGGCCTGGTGCTGACCCCGAGAGCAGCAAAGCTCTGCCGGAGCCCCCAGTGTGAGACATCGGGGGGGCTGTGAGTGCCGGGGAAGCCCGAGATGCTTCAGCCACTGTCTGGGAGTGTCAAACACATTTAGGCTTAAAAGGATGACGCTCAATCGTTTTGCATATTATTAGACCCGATTTTAATTGAAATGTGAGCACTAACCCCACCTTCAGACAGCGACCAGCAGCCAGGTTCCACCTGGGACTGATGAAACCAGCCAGGGGTAATTCCTTCTGACCGCGACTTTGGCCCAGCAGCCTCATTCCTCTCACCTGTGTTTCACTCCCTGTTTTCCCTCTCCACCTCTGCAGCCTTCAGCCAGAAACCACCTCTGGGAAAGGACACGTCCCCCTGCTCAGCCCTGGACCCTGTGCCCACGTCGCAGGGTGGACCCCAGGACTGAGGCTGTGAGGTCCCAGTGGCCCGGGAGGAGGTGGGATGGGATGTCCCAGCATGGCACGGGCAGGAGGGACAGCAACGCCCCTGCAGGGAAGGGAACTATTGCCCAGCCCAGGCTTTGCGGCCCCTCGGGACTCCTCCCCTGCCGTTTGCCCCCCTGCCCTGCCCGTCGGGATGTGGCTGGAGGAGTCAGCAGCCAGGGTTGCAAAATGGGTTTGCACAATGGGATTCCAAAGGCAAAGCCCCCCCGGGGCTGCAGCCACCTCGGCTCCAAACAAACAGCG